GTAATGAATAGAGAATTTTCTGTGAGCAAATCGGAGAATCGTTCAAGCTTAGTGCGAGTTTTTCACAGCTGCTGGTCCCTTGTGTCGACGAGGACGATGTCAGGGTTGGTTAGCATCGGGCATACTGTTACTGGAATGTCGCCGGAGTTTTACAGCCAGCAGATGCTCCCAAGCAGATCCCACGTCATCCGAATTGCACCGCCACCACAAGGGAGAAGGGCCGTAAGCATCGGCGCTTCCCTATTCCATCTGTTTACAAGCGATTCTGTTGTTGGAACGGACGAATACCTGCTCACATCGTCAACAATACATACAAATGTGAAAATAATTTCATTAGCTGCTCAGTTGTTTGGCTGTTTGAGCTCTGCACAACTCATATGTACTCACTCCACATGAAAATCGCTTCTTTCGCCTTCGAAACGCTTCGAATAGGTTCCAAGAAGTATACGGCTTATAATTGCTCTTAGGTCAGCTTCAGTTCATTCCACATAGCTACTCTCATTGCGTAAATACGTCTATTTCTGTCTATTTCTGTTCAGCTGGTCACATTTTCACCAGCACTTTTGGATCCGTCATTTTTGAACCGCCAAAATGGTAAGATCTTCCGATTTCTGCCTTTTATTTCCAATTAAAATAATTATTGCTTGCATCTCTGCAATTCCCAATGTCTCTCTCGAGGAAGCGAAGGGAATGAATTGAAACAAAGGTACCCAGAAGCTGATTCGATTACTTATGGGATCTGATCCCTCCTGAACTGGGCGCGCTTAAATGGCCTTTGAAAGATAAGGACATGATTTTTCTTTGTGTAGGAGAGTTCCCTAAGAGGGTTGGAATACGGTTAGCCCTCGAAATGAATGATCGGACTCTAAATTTTTTATTCCAGCAGTTCTAAGTAGTGACGGAAAATGAGTAAGTTGATTACGGTAGGTTCTGGATGGGAGTAAGTTCAAAACCATCCCTACACGTAGTCCTTTGGTAATCCTACCCAAGATCGAAAAACTTCCTGTATCATGACCACTACAGTACCTATAGGAGGGAATGGGTGGGAACTGATCTGGAGCTTGACTAGTTTGCTCAAGCCATAAGTTTTTCAAGTTCCGATCAAGGCTGAATTTCAGGTAGTATTCAGGGTTGTTGAGCGGTTCTTCCAGCTTCATTATTTCCTAATTTCGAGAAATTACCAGTTTTCAACAAGTCGTGCGGCTGTTTTCGTCTTTTTGCAGGATTATCCTTTTGTCTATCACTTTATTATTGCAATGACGTGTGGAAATGGCTAATGTTGTTGGTGCCCATTCACTTTCTATTTGCTCAGAACAATAATAGCCGATCTGTTTTCATGAAGGATATCCTCCATCGCCGCTATGTATGACGACGATATTGAATGTATGTCAAGCCACAACATGGAAGGAATAATCCACGCCGGCCAACCCCTTTTGCGTAATGAAGCGTGCTCTGAGAAGTGCAATAGACACTTCTGGCCAACGTTTCCTGAATGTTACGCCGCGATCATTTCTCTTCAGAACCCTTTTGCTTGAGACCATCCTAGGAATGGCTGTTTTTCTCATCCATATCTTCTTCTTACCATGTTCATTTGTAGTAGACTTCTAGTAGATTTTTTGTCGGGTAGGACTGCTGTAGTAGGGAGTCGTGCACCATCACAGACGCATGGTCACGGGTTCGAATTTCCGGCCCTCAAAATCCGCCTAGGCCAGCCAACTCTTCCATCCTCTCGGGGTCGGTTAAATAGCGACGGACTCGTCTGAGAGGATAAGAACACTGACATGTACATTGGTTAGGTACCTCAAGTCTGTATGGGCCACAGTGTATTCAAAACGCCGCTACGGTTCTGAATGGAAGTCAAATACAGGGCAGAACCCAGGAATGGGAGAGATTGACGGTAAAGACTTCATCGTTCCTCCATCTATTCATTCTTGGTCGTTTGGGAGATTTTTGTCCCTGACCTTTTTCTTGTAGACAAAGCTTTCGTAGGGCAGTTCACAATAATGATAGGCACCATGCTGGGCTTTCAAAATCCCAGTCCATCTGTCTGTAGTTCGCACTAAAGTGTCTGTTTTCTGCATTTTCGAGCATTTATTTCAGAGAAATAATAGAGTGAGAGTAACAGTTTGCCATCGAGGGACCCTATTTTTAAATTATTCGAATTTGGTGTAATGTGTAAATCTTACTTGTACTGAGTGGTAATATACTCCCCACTGACTTCTCCAGTCAGTTCAGTTGGTTCAGTGTTTCACTTGATCGTCTTGGTCTTAAGCCATCATCTTATTTTTGACGACGACAGCCTGCCCCTCTTCCCTCCTCCACCTTCCACCCTCCCCCATGTCCCCTTCCCACGCCTTCTATCTTCCCATTCCTCCTCCCATTGTGGAATCTAGTATCGGAATCGCTTCACCTCACCACAGAAATGATGCTATACCCTCTATCCAGGTAATAGCCCTTAAGCGACTTCGAGTGAGCCCTTTGTAACAATATGTTTCCTTTGCTCACGTCATCGCAAGAACCCCTTTGTGACTTTGATTGCAGCAGCTACACGGGCCTTTCAAATGAACGGCATTGGAGTCGGGAACGAGTACATAAGAGAATCACAACACATTCCACATCCTTCCGCCCAGCTGTTCAATCAATCTCCTTCATATTCTGAGAAATCCTGTTGATTTGCGACAGTAATTTTTGATCATTGACCAAAATGGTTTATACAAATACATACATCTGCTGAGGGCCCATCCAGAAGTTTTTTCACTTCGGCTTACGACTGATCAAACACAGACGTTTCTTGAGATGGGCGCTTTTTGTAACTGTCCTAAGCACATGTAAATGAACAGGCCTCCCAACGAGGTTGCTCAAAACCTCGAGTACCCTGTTTTTGTTTGCCTAGGAATTAGCTAGGCTCTTGTAGAAGCGAAATATAGCCGATCGGGTACTTCGGGTTTAGCTGAAAGTACATATTAATACGTCTGCAGCTCATTCTGCAAGACTGCTTTCACCAGAACTTTTCGTATATCATTTCTTTTGACGTGCTTACTCCTGCCTATTATTTGCTTCTTTGTAGGCGACCTCTAAAGTGACTACTCCGTTGAGTTTTCGATTTGATCATGTTTCCAGAGATTCTCTGGAATATTCTCGAAATGTCAGTTGGTGCTATAAAGGACATGCTCCATGTTTACAGACGTTTGTAAGGGTGATTCACCATGCACTTGTAATCGTAAACATATCAAAATATATCATCAGACCTTAAAAGTGATTTTTCCGATGTCGCATTAAACGGATAAGGAACGTTTGTGTCACGTACAGTAAACACGATTACGGTAAGTTCCTGTCTGGTATCTGTTGACATTCCTATGGGATGGCTCATGAATAGAATAATATGTTAGGGAATAAGAAATTTATCAACATGACATTTCACTGATCCCAGAGAACCCAGAGGATCGGGTATGCTTAACTGAGCAGACCCAAATTGGACGCGTGGGAGGCTTATTGTATTATTACCTGGCAGGTGATTTATGCGTGATAATAGTTGCTTGTAGTATAGTTGAAAAAAACCTCTTACTGGCATGAATTTCAAAAATAAGTCAATTTAGGCGGTAACTCATCTTTAACCAACCAATGAATCGTTTTGTATTATGTACCCAATCGACTACTTCCTTTCAATGTCAACCTTTTTTCCTTTTCCTCTTCTGACCTCTCCCACTGTTACTTTACAACCGCTGGCTGCTTCTCACCATACCCTTTAGCAGCTCTTTATAAAATTTTGCAGGAGTTGAACCAATTGTGACCAGATGTGCGGAACCAAACAGCCGGTGGATCGCTGGTAAATCTGGATTCAGTATCATACATATGAGATGACCCGCTCTCCCAAACACTTCTATCCAGCCTTCCCTTGCTTTCCGTCATGCTCATTTTCCCCGTTCCTTAAGGCCCAATTCAACGCTGGAACGGACTGCCTTGTTATCCCTGTGCCTATTGGCATTTGTAAGCAGAAGAGCGATTGAAGTCTCGAAAGCGTTGATGTAGTGATTTTTGAGATGTCACGTCTTTCATTACCAAAATCTTTTCATATCAATCTTCTTCCTCGATATTATTATCATTGCTAAGGAAGGCGACGATCAGAACATTACTGTAATCGCTGACACTGTACTAGGAGCGTGCATAGAATGTTTCGTTTGAAAATTCCATTTTCTTTTGAATTTTTTCAATCATCGGCATCTTGTAGCACCTTGTGATAAGAGGAGTAATCAAAGACCACGTGGAATTCGGCATGCCTGAAGTGGCCATCCCTTTTAGGTCACTGTTAGTAAAATATGGTGCCTTGAATAACTGAAAATCGGAAGTTTTGTTGGATTTCATTATCCGGGTGTCCTGAACATAACAGGTCCGTAAATCTTTCCGGAACGCCCCACGCTTTTTATTTCCATTAAAAATTACTAATGAATGCAGATCTGGAGAACACAGCGTTTTTCGGCAATAGGACACTCTAGGCCTGTTGTTTCTGCCGTCAAGTCTTACGAGTTTGTCAAATAGCTGATTTCCGAATATGAATAGCCTTAGGAAAATCTCTGAATATGAGCGACGCCTTTCTACGATGCCCTGACTCCTTTTCAGCAAAGGGAAGCGCGTTTGGTTTTGATACTGAGATGTACCAGAACCTGACCTTTTCCGTAATAGGCAGTTTATAAGAAAGCCAAAGTAAACCCATGTATCACGAGAAAGTAGCACTGCGCTTTCGCTATCTTGCCTGAAAAAATTTGTGAGTCATTGGCTGGAAACAAGATCTTTCAGATGTTGATTGCACTGCTTGAAAAAAAACCACCTGGCTTGGTGTATAGGAAATCTTGGAGAAGATTGTTTTGTCATTACTCAATCGCTAGCCCAATTTCCTAACCGGCCGACTGAATTCAATGTCTATTAGCCGTCATTCTATTGGTATCAGGGACATCTATGAGGGAAACGAGTACATAAAATAGATCTTGTGACCAAGGTGATTTATGGAGAAGGCCAAACTCGCCCCCGTAGGTAAAAGAACAATCATTCTGTGGGAAAAAGATTCTGTGTTCGTTCCCCACAGGGCTAAAGCGAGGGTCATTAATGTTGGGCTTCCAATTTTCTCAGACGCAGAGCTGCTAAGAGTCAGTATTTGCTTTTTGTTTGTTGTTTGTTTACTACCATGTACTTGTCTAGGGTGTCCCTAGACCAAAATGATTTCTGGGGGCGGAGAGAAGAGGAGGGAGGGGGAGGACGAGGTGGTTGGATGGTAGGTGGTTTCAGACACAAAAGAGAACTAGGAACGTCAAAAACTCTCTCTGGTCGTCATCGGTGGAGGTTATCCATTCTATTGGGGTTTCATTCAGTATCGGCTCTTCTCTCCTCTTATCAATTTGCTCGTATAAATCTAGCTGAGATTGTACTTTAGTGCCCCTTGACTTTGGGAGCTCATTGGGAGGCGCCTCTTCCAAATGGGTGGGCCTTTTGCCCATCACCGCTTCACTTTCATGGTTGGTTCGTTCTGATTTTTCAGACTTTTAAGAAGCTGTTTTTGATCTAGGCCATAGCCATCTTCGTGAAACTATTCTTCTGAAGCTTGCTACCATCCTAATACTTCATAACTACTTGTCATTTTCCTTATAAATATTAGTTATCGCCATTTATGTCAACTCCGCAAGTTTCTTCGAATTCTTCCTTTCTCTCCGTGAATTTCTGATGGTTTTCGTTTTCTACGAAGTATTACCGAATCGCCGACATTCCGTTTTTTCGCGACCAATCCTCCTCAGAATTTTTTGCTAAAAAAGTTTATATTCCAGGTGATGGGCCCTAACGGGTCGTGGTCGTTACCGCCGGGGTCAAATGAGACCACGGGCGGAAATACCCACATCCTCACCACAACGATTTGGAATTCCGATCGACCACCACCAATCAAGCATGCAGGACTGCTGCTGATCCTGATCCCGATGGTCACGATCCTTGGCAATCTCCTGGTCATCATCTCCGTATTACGCTATCGAGCTCTGCAGACGGCAATCAACTTCCTTATTCTTGGACTTGCCGTAGCCGATCTGCTAGTCGCCCTGTTCGTCATGCCCTATGCCGTCTATGTTCATGTAAGTGCCTTTAGACTATTTGGAAGCTTTATGTCTCATTTAGGGTAACGCTCAGTGCGTGAGGGAGTTTCATTTGTTGGAAGTGTTTTCGCACTTCAATTTTCTAGCTTCCAGCTGTCAATGGCCCATTTCAACCCAACGATTTCATTCCCACCAAGCAGTTTAGCTGACGAAAAACTTAGTCAAGCTCCAGGGCGAAAATAGAAAGTTCAATTCTCGGTTCGTCTAGAAAACGTGGCTTGACTTTTTCGAGTATAATCAAGCAACATAACTTTGTCGGAGGGCTCAAAATCAGCGAGGGACTGCTTTTCGTTTTTAAAAATTTTGTTCTATCTTGAACATAGCCTGGAAGCAATCGGAGAACTCTTGAGGTGTCTAGTTTTGGATGAATAATGCAAGGATGCGATAGTCCAGAATAGTGCCAAAGACGCAAAAAATCGCCGGACTTAGAGGATTATAGGGCTTCAAAAAACTAGTCAAATTAGAGGATGGACGAGAATGTGACGACAAGAGTTGCATGGAATGAGAATTCGCACGAGCTGTCCAAATGTGTGTGTCATTGTGCACAGCTGGCTACAGTAAGCTGCCTGCGTGCAAGATGTGCGTCCTGGTGCGAATGGTGCAATCTCTACAGCCTCTACAATGTCATGTGAACTCGTCCGCCTCTGAGTGTGTGTGTGCCGGTCGTGGGGCCTTTATTACGCTCTATCCAGTCGTTTTTCTACACTACAGCGTTTCTTGCGGTATCATTGAGGGTCACAGGTTCATTCCAGGAAGGAATTTGAAAAACTTTTTGGAGCTCACACAAGAGGGACAAAAAAGTCAGGAATATGTCACTCATCATGGCAAATATGGTTGCTGGATCTGGCTGGATGTTGGGCAAAATGTTATTCAAAAAATTAACAAAGTCCGATTCGAAATTATGAAAGTAGGATCGGATTTAGGCTGTTCCGGTACGGCCGTTCAGTGGACTAGAACGACTCCTTTAGAAAAGAAGTCTAGCATCGGAGCAATCATAAAATACGATGAAGGTGGATTAATCGTGAAGGGTTGTTGGAAATTAAGTTACCAGTTATTACGCGAGGTAAAAAAGAGGGTAATAATGGAAAATGGACGATTTCTAGCAGAGATAATCGTAACTTATTCTTTTCTAAGAATCATCAAAGTCCTCTGTAACCCTAGGGCGCTCCTTCGTCACAGCTCCATCAGTAATGCATATGAGTTTTGACATATTTTCGATTTTTCGGTGGATGAGTTAAACCCTTTCATCTCACCCAGGGCTTTGCATTAAGACCAGCGGGGGCTCGTCGTCTTGTTTTGACTCCTAGGGAATTGGTTTATTTGTTTGTTTGTAGCATGTGTAATTCGACATTCGCTGCGTGAATCAACTTCCCAATCTTCTGAAAAACGATTAGAATCGACCTCACACACATCACACAATTTCATTATGGTCATGTGGTGCCAAATCGCCAAACACCATAATTGGATCACCACGGTTTTTCTCGGGCTGCTGAAGCGGTATTTTGAATTAGACGGGATTAGTAGGCAACAAAGATCTTCGTGTTTTATGAACTGGAAATGTCCGTTCATTGCATAAATTAAGGCGAAGGACACCCATGAACCAGCTTGAAAATACTCACCAAATAGCAAATGCCTGGAGCCGCATGAGCGTAAAAACCATTCTCATTTGAGACAGAAAACTTAAAAAATGCTATGGGAATAAGGTAGCACTCCACCAACTAGACTAGCTACCAGACGTTTTAGGTTAACCAATTCCGCTTCCAAGATACGCCTCACATCCTACTTCCATTCATAACCATAGAATCAGTGTGAATGCGTATTTGTCCTATACAATGTCTTGCGGTGTTGAGCCGATGAGAAATGAGAGATACAGAAATTTGGTCGAATTTCTGTAGTAGCTAGCTCAGGAAGCGGACTAGGCTTTTTTTGGGACACATAATTTTAATCGGGTTTAATAATAGGGAAGTAGTGGTGCAGTGGCAAGTGGGGCGCTGTCACAATGCATGGCCCGCGGTTCGAATCCTGGATCTATACTGGGCTGGGCATGCCAAGCCTTGCATCACTCCGGGCTCAGTCAGTTGGTACATATATTACGCCACTACGATTCTGAATGGAAGCTGAATGAAAGAGTTCATCTTTGCGAAGGGATTGATACACCAGAAGTCTCCACACAGGACTTCATTCTCATTAGTGAGAGGGTGATACAGTTTTGCATATGTGGAAAACAGTGAGCAGTTTACTTTGGTGGTTCCCCGTGGGGAATGATATGATTGAGGTTGTGTTCGCTCATTTGCAGTAGTGCACTATCAAGCGTATGGTCCAAGGATCTAATTCAGGTTTGAAACCTAGACCGAACGGGCCTGTTACTTCGTGACTTGTTTATTAGGTGCTTCCCCCATGTCCTTGTGTAGGCCATATGCGCATTCAAACGCGAAATCGGTCCCACTTCAGTATTAGTGTACAAGCTTAGCACTCAATCTGCCCGTGCAATCAACCAAGTTGAGTACTTGGCGCATCCCTAATGGATTGACCTATGACGAACTTTTACTCTACTTTGACATTTTTCCCAATTGATTCGGACTCCAGTGAGATTGCTACTGAGGGATGACGGCCAAAAGTGAACTTTTCGGTGTTTTTCCCTATATGGGGAACTTTTCAAAGTCATGCTATAATTTAAAACTTTGGAGCTACACGAAGCGCAATTCAAGCATTATGATTCATACTTTATGGCTTAGCAACAACATTGGTTTGTGATGTTGAACCTTTCACTTGCTCGCTATGAAGTTCAGCTGTTACAAGGGAAAACCTAGATTCTCCCTCTGAATCGTTCGAGAAGATTCATACAGCAAACTCAAAACTTCTTCAAGCCCCACCTTGAGTGGTCAAAAGGTTCTAATAATGATCAAACAACCTGACTATCGGAAACCTCCGCGGACTACCAAAGGAGTCAGTTAAAAGTTTTTTCTATTGCACGTGTGGCGGCCAACGAGGAAGGAAGGTGTTGACTCGCATCGACTCGGGTTCGTTCCCTTCCAATTTCCTGCTAACCTCCTACGTTTCTGAAGAACTTTGATTGGAACACTGACGTCGTTCATGCTCTCCGAACTTTTATGGAGATCAAAGAAGAGCACTCCAAAGGGAGGTGAATGAGCTTCGATGGCTGACCAATTAGGCTGCTGGTGCACGTGGAAATTCCTCAATAAGGGCTCACAAAGACTTGCTAGCTCTGCAAGGTAGAAGGAGTCAAGGGTCAAAATGAGTTTACTCAACTGTTGAATGTCAGGGATAATAGCGAGATCGGCATCACGGGGAATTGAAGGACATATCCAACGAAAAGTCGTAATCTGATCCGATTCCAAGTCTGAACAGCTCTTGTTCTCAGAGCTAGACAGGTCGATTCGTTCAACTAGTCCCGAATTTCTGTTTTTCGAGCAGTAGCTTCCTGGAAGCCAAATGCATCGTCTGTATGTTACCACCCTGAAATGATGGCATAAAAGGCGACTATTTCCGCAAAGTTAGATCAGCACCAAATCAGTTACTTATAATGTGAACCTTGGCGGACGCTGGCTGAGTGCCACAGATTTCTGGATAATTCAAGTGAACAATTAGACCCCGTGTGAGACCGCCATTTTGAACAGTAGTTGAGGCATCGCGCATCTGGGAAGCTTCATCATGCCAAACCAAAGCACCGAAACCTAGAAATCTTCACTCCGAATTTTTGTTCCAAGGATCCCACTAAGTGTTCGGGAAGTAGCAGCTCGTACATTAACCGACTCTCAATCTTCTAAATCCCTCGGATTTTAAATTTGAAAACGACATCCTGCAGACTTTCGAAGCCTCCATAGCAATGATCAGCAATGGACACTATGGTTCATAGATCCGAGCAACCCAGAATTGTACTACTTCAATGAAAAACAGTGATAAGTATAATTGCCAGTATAAATTTTATAGCCCTAATAGGTGTTTTGAATATATTCCGCTATCAAGCCATTCCCCCAGGGCTCTCATTTGGGTAAAAATAGCCACCATCCGTCTACAATAGGTATATTGTTGTGGGAAAAGAAAAACTAGATAGAATGATTATCGGAATTAGGGTGTCTTCGTACGCCTAGAGAATCTGGTAACTCGACAGGCATTCGGGCATATGATTAAGACTATCAAAGGATCAGTTCAGTGTCTGAGTCCCTTATTATTCATGTACTACCTGGAGCATTCTCGCTTGTGAAACCCCAATATTAAAACCCCAATATGTACCTAATTGAACTGTTAAGAACAGTTTTCGGAAGATCTCAGAAAGCTTAGCGCCTCCTTATGTTGATCGTTCCCATATTGTGGGATGCTACCACTACCAACATCCCCCCCCTCTTTCTCTCCGCATTTCGCTGCCATTAAGAAACATAACGGTGTTTCGAATGCATATGTTTCCTATGCAATGCAATGACTTCCGGTACCAGACATGTTCAAGTCAGTGCTTTTATCCTCCCAGATGAGTCTGGTACCGATAAACCAAACGGAAGGGTACCGAACCTGGATCCGATCCTCGGGCCACGGTATATAACGCCCTGACTGAAACTGCACCATGCTCACCCACAGGAACGCATCAAAGTGAGCTATCCGAGATGACAACATTTATGGCACATTCGGATGGTGTTGCATTGAAAGTGTCGAAGGCATTACCTAACAGAGGAATCGAGCCAACAATCAGGGGCCATTACTTGCCCAATGTTCAAAGAACAGCGAAATTGCAGAATTGTTCAATTGGGCGAGCGAACCTCCCAAAAGTACATAATTGTTGGATCCATTCTATCCCTTTCCGAGACCTAGTATAGCTGTCAAACCCTCAGCCGAAGCAATGGATCGCAAGGAAGTAGACATCGGTTGACAGACGAGGAAGTAAACCAGGAAGTTATCTACTACAAAATGGAATGTCATTGGCAGGCGTTGTGTCGGAGTGTAGGGCTTCGGTCTAGAAATGTGGTCATTGAGCTCTTAGGAATGATTCTTTTCGTGAAGTGCAAAGGGTAGGGACCTGCTAAGGTCCGAGGACTTGAATTTTGGGTAAGCCACAATAGAAATCTCTGAATGGAGTCCTTAAGGAAGTGCCTAGACTGAGCATGAACTGCGACAAGCCGTTGCTAATACTTTTCCTTGTTTTTAACAATCCCAAAACATCTCACTGTAACGGGCGAGTGGGGTGAGGGACCATTGCTTCGACGTGCACCTTTCTTTCCGATGAACTTGACCTTCTCGATGTTCTGCTACTTTTGTTCTCTCCTTCAAGTCCACTTCCTCGATTCGTGGCGTTGGTAGGACTGCCTCCTCCTTGTGGTTCTTAACAAAAAAGAAATCGGTGTGACATTTGGAGTTTTAGGCCTGACTCTCTTTAGAAATGATTATTTTCAGGTGCAACGAGGCGAATGGTACATTGGAAATCTAATGTGTGATATTTATATGGCATCTGATGTAGCGTGCAGTACCGCATCCATACTTTTACTTGCGATAATTAGTTTTGATAGGTCGGTCTGGCTCAAAACGATAATTGGTAGCCATTGCACAATCCAGCAATCATTTATGTCCTTTTCAGGTATCGAGCAGTAAGCCGACCGATTCAATATTCTCGCCAATCTCAGAACGTGCGTCGGGTGTTCGCAATGATTGGCGCCACCTGGGTGATTTCGCTGCTCGTGGCCAGTCCTATGGTATTCGGTAAGTCCAGGTTTCCTTTGCCAAGGACGCCGGGTCATCCGAATCGTAAACCTGGTCTGTACTCGTATCACCTGTATCACCTGTCGTCCCGTTGATCATCGACTTCCTCGAGCGGGTGCCAGTAACGAGTCTAGGCCCCTGTGACAGGGACGAGTGAACGTTACACTCCACTCATCCCTTTCCCAGGCCAGAGCGGTTCCTAAAGAAGTCTGCCCATCTCGTTGGCGGCCGTCCTGGAGTTCGTTTGATGTCCCGAGGGAACCAATCACCCTAACCGCCCTAGTTCAACGGTCATCACTATATAGCATAACGTGTCCGGCCCACCTGTTCTTCGATTTTTTGGCACAGTCAACGGCATCCCTGATCTTCCGGATTAATTTCTGTCATTGTGTATATAGGTAAATTCCAAGCATCGCCCTTTCCAGAGCGCGCTGAGTAACACTGACAGCATGAACTCGTACTGCGGCGATTTAATAGCAGTTAACAAACACTCAAAGTCAAAATCGAGGTGGAAGGCTGGGAGCTGAAGGGATAACCTCCCCAACTTAGAGTGACTGAGGGTGGCTATCTTTTTGCAAGTCCCAATCCATACTTCTGCAAAATGGCTGATTTGGAAGTTTCCCCACTGGAGAAAAGCCACATGGTCTATGATTTCGGGACCCTGTCGGCGTGACCAGTAAAAATTGAACTTTAACACTACCGCTGTAAAATAGTTCCTCATGGAGTGCAGCCTCTGAGATGTGGATAGGGCTAAAACTTCTTAACCCGCAGGTCGGGCAAAGAAATAGAATCACCTCAAAAACCACTGCGATTGTCACATCCAAGAGATACTCAAGTAGGCGGGAGAGATTTGGAAAAGAAGGAATACTCGTACTAAAAAAAAGAAAAAACAGTGCGAGGAAATAATGAGGCATGATTCATTGAGGGTATCTGTAATAGTGGTAAGGCGTTAACTAGCTAAATATATTTGGTCATAGATTGACTCTGTGGACAGCTGATTATGCTCAAGCATCGGTTGTTCGTTTCTGAAAACGCATTGGTAACCTTCTCTCCATGCCTCTACTGTGATTACCTCATTCCTAGAAAGTCTTGCTTTCCGACCCTTTCTCTTGACCACATTTCTTACCCATCAGTCGTAGTGATTAGGAAATTTCTTTTTTTGGACCCGTTTTTCAGTGAAGCACTACTGAAAAATTTGTTACAGGTGTAAACGTTCGGCCACCGGACGCAAATCCGCACGAATGCCGCTTTTATAACGCCGAGTTTTCAATCGGCTCGTCTATCATATCATTTGTGATCCCATGTATTCTCGTTCTGTTCGTCTACATTCGAATTTTGATCGCTCTAAAGAAACGTGAAAAGGCTGCAAAATTGCGTCGGCTGAAACATCTGCAGGCAGGTGCCAGGTGAGACTTTACGATATTCTTTTAACAAAGTCTGGCAGCGATACAATCGTCCTGAAGGCCTCTTCTTTTCCTTCTGCAGTAATCCTCGAAAAAATATTCTATTTTCATTCTTTTCATCTGCTGCAAACACAACGGCGAGGTGAAAGTGCCATGGTTACAACCACCCGTACCCATACAACCATGAGGCCAAGCATATGCACAAAGGGCGTATACCGCGCACGAAGATCTAGTTTTGCCAAGCCGACCTTCTGACCGGATCAGAGTTCCTATTCGCAGTGGGCTGGCTTTTATTCGTGACAGATGGCTGTCGAAGTTCCAACACTTTGTTTTGCTCGCAGCTTAGAATTATTTGAAAATAGGTAAGAGATCCCGAGGCGGAAGAGGTAGGAGAAGAGAGCACATCAAAGAGTGGGAATGAGGTCAGCGGGAAGAAACTAGTGGATGTAAGGAGCATACAAACTGCGGATGATTGCTCGAGAAAAAGAGAGCGCAAGAGAGAGAGGTAAAGTGAGGAAGAGAGAGAGGGAGAGAGAGAGGAAATGCATGGAAAACAAGAAGACTCAATGGGTTGAATGAAGAGTAAATGACGGCAGACTTGAAAGAGCTGCTTGAGGTTAAGGGGAAGGAGGAGCAACTAAGGGAACACAAGGGGATTCCCTTGGTACTGAAGAGAGCGTGAAAGGAGTTACGAATAGGAGAGAGGAAGCATTACGATAAGGCACAGTCGAACCTCTTCAGATACACAAAAAGGATGAAAAGACGGACAGTTGGATAAGTGGTCTAACGAGATGGGACAGAAAATGGAGTAAAAGTTGGGATCCGCGGTTAGATAAATAAGGCCGCCAGCAGTCCGGGGTCGGTGGTGGAAGAAAAGGTTATCAACTGAATCTCAAGCACGAGAAGTCGAACGAATTTATTGCATTGTTCAATAAATCCCTTTAGATGACACCGGGACCGTTAAATGGATGTGATAGGATGGGTTTCCAACTTACCATGGACGAGATCGAATCGTTTAAATGGACTAAGTAGGATTGGGTGTCTCAGAATGTTGGGATTCCTTCCAGCCAAGTTAATTAACTTAAACAAAATCCATCATAGCGGAGGCTCCTCTTCCCCAGAATCAGTTTTCATTTTTGAAGTAATCATCAAAATGATAACAAAAATTCAGTACGACGGCACGCACGACCAGCAGCGACGAAGGCGAGGAAGCTGGCCGAATTGTTACTAATCCAGGTATGGCCAGTTCTTTTCATTTTCCCAGTTCCGTTCGATTCTGATCACATTCATCCTTTCCTCACCCTTTTGTAGTCAATGTACTTTTTTCCCGCATCACACGATTTTCTGCCCTATTAAATTGCTTTGTTTTCAGTGCTTTTTTTCTTTCCCAAATCCATTTTGTTGATTTTTTCCTCATATTGTGTGGTCTTTACCGGCTTTTTTGCTTTTGTCTTTTGATTAGAATGGACCGATTTCTTTGTCCCCAGGCCGAGGCGCTAAAGTGAGACGTACCATGAGGAAATCTCCCTATCAGGATTACCTATCCAGGGAAATGTGGAAACCATGGTGGATTTCTCTCAATTATAGTTAGGTTTTAGAGTCGGATAGATTCTACTTGAAACTCGTCCCCTAAGCGCAATTTCACCGGCTGAACACTTATATCCCAACTCAAAATCAATTAGCACCGGCACTTAAACAGCCAATGACGCCAAAGTCGCTAAAACTGGTCTCCAGGGTGGTTTGACCGGCTGAAAGATCATCTCCATTTGGCTTAAAACATCAATTTATGGCTCTTAAGCAGTGGCGCCATAGGCAATGGAATATATCAGAACCGATATTCGTGTTTGGCTGGTTAAACTACCCTGGGACAACTTTCCAGCCGTTTCCATACCTGGAGGGCAGGATTTGGGAAAATGTAGCCCAGGTTGGGTAATTGCGGTGCCAATCTTTTTCCACACTCAGAAATTTATTAAGATTGCCTATAACGATGAGACTAGAAGGCCTAAACAGTGCATGCGTTTTTCGGGTACGAGGACCAGAAGGAAAATCGTTTAGGGGCCTGGGATTGGGTGAATCCTTTACGATATTCATTTCTTGGAGTTTTTGGCCACGCTCAGATTAGTCAGATCCATAGCCTAAGATGGATCCTTGAACCGATTAGAGCTCTAAGCAGTTTTGTCAAGTACTAGCAGCGGTTCTAATGATCTAACACAGTCCAATCCTGATGGGCGTCTCACTTGGGCGGCCTTGGTGTCAGGGGACGGTAAACGGTGCAAGTGTGTGCTTTCAGTGATGAACGTGATGATGATGGCACTGCCGTCGATGACGCAGCACATGCGACGATTTGAGCGACATCGTGCGGCTTTCGAAGCAGCAGGTGACGACGACGACGAGTCGGCGGTGACGCGTGGCGCAGGGGCAGCGCCACCTGCCGCCGCTCTTCTGCTCTCGTTGCTCGCTCCCCGTCCTAGCCTCTCTCTACGTACGTGTTTTCCCTGTTCGTCCTATCATCTATGGATGCACATCACGCCCGCCGCTCGTTGGCGCTTTGACCGTGTTCATTTGGGCGAAGGTCTGAGCGCAGGCGTACGGTCTGGGAATCCTTTCACTGTTTCTAATAGCACGCCTCTGTCTCTGTTGCATGTTAGTGTGCTTGTGTGTGTCTAGGAATGTGTAGAGAAATATCTAGGGACTCGAATAATCGGGGTGCAGAGAATTTTAAACGTCGGCAAATTTGTCAATCTGAATGTTTGCTCTTACTGACCAGCGCACTCCAGCATTCGTCAGCTCAGTGACGAGTCAACAGCAAAATAATTTTTTTCCCGAACAACTGGAGGACGAGTTGTTTACTTGTCGGCATGCCATCCAACTTTGGAGGTACCCGATTTCAAATCGAATGCTGCCTTCATCAGGCCTATTTCCCCTACGAGGGATTTCGTGCATCCATTCGGTGGGCGTCCTCTACCAATCATTTCAGGATTGTTACAGAAGATGGTAATGAATCTTCCAAGAGTCTTGTCGTAAATCATGAAGCTGCGGTAGTCCATTATGGAACTAGTATACTCATTTTTCTTAGGCAACGACCTTGAAGTCATTCTTGCATATGAATGAACCAGCCCAGGTTCGTAGCAAGGAAATGGATTGCATTTTTGATGGACCAGCATTTTTGACCTTCATGCGAAACGGGAGTAATCGTACAGTTGTCGTGTCGCGGATTTGCTTTCAGTGTTACCTCATCCACGTAAATTACGGTTGGTGGTCCCTAGTGGAACGATGCATGGCAAAGTAAATGGCTAGGAATCGTACTTTAGAGGGATCTAGACTTTTATGCACTCTCATTTTAATAATCAATGATTCTGAGGAGTAGCCCTGTACTACCACTGAGCTCATGACTTATCGTTGAAGGTTCAAAGCACAGTTCACGATTATTTCAGTGTATCTGGTTTTCGACGGATGATGAAAGTAATAGACAAGAATAGTGCGAAGATAATGAGAAGAAAACGCGGGAAACGACGTGTTTACGAAAACACAAGGTCTCGAAAAAGTTCCAAAATAGGACGAGATTGTGATGGGAAAAATGGAGTGGAAGAGGTGGGGTACGGGTACATAGTCCGGGGACGCGCGCTGCGAAATTCGTGGAGATTCGAACGACTCTGGCGCCTATTATTAGGGCACAAACATGAAGTAGAGTAGTTTGTTAGGGTCACGTCACTCGATCCTACTAATCTACCGTATTTCAAGTTTGAGCCCCAATGATAGGCGCCAGAGTCGTTCGAATCGCCACGAACTTCGCCGCGCAATTTGCCGCGCGCATCCTCGAACGCACGTAATTTCCGTCCGGGTGTGTGTCAAGTCGTGCGTCCGAGAGTGCGCGCGGCAAATTGCGCGGCGAAGTTCGTGGCGAATTTGAACGACTCCGGCGCCTACCATTGGTGCCCAAATCTGAAGTAAGGTAGATCAGTAAGGTCAGCTGATCCTACTATTCTAGTGTACTTCGAAATTGGGCCCAAATAATAGGCGCTAAAGTCGTCAGAACAGCTATGGGTTTCGCCGCGCAATTTGCCGCGCGCATCCTCGGACGCACGTAATTTCCGTCCCGAAGAGGTGTTTCGGCAAAGTATCTGCAACGTCTGCTATTGCGTACCGCTTCTTTAATAGGCGCTAATGAATCGGATTTGATCCTGTCTCACTACTCCGCTGCATTGTTGACATTCTGATGCATCAAACCAACCAATGGACCCAGAAGAAAAATAATTTTACCCAACTCCACCTTGAACAGACTCTCCCCACTCGGTGATCAGCTGATTGGATGCCGAACGTGTGGGTTCTGGCAGGAATAGGGCAACCTGTATCGCCTCGGCAACTCTTCTGACATATCATGTGTCGATGGGCGTGGACACCGGCGAATCCGGTAGTGGGCTCCTATTATGCCCTATCTATTGGGTTTTTCGGCCCGACAGCGTCTTTTGCATTACCATTAGGGACCACCGTGTAATCCAAGGTGTTATCTTAGAAACGCTTTTTATCGAGAACTGTGCTTTAAAGGACAAGGTCTCTGGACACTGATCACTCCTGTTTAAAAAATGCGTCTCCGCACTCGACTTACACTCAGAATCGTATATCTCCTATACAATCGGCGTTGGCCGATGTACTACTCAGTGCTTTTACCCTCCCAGATTATGACGACAAAACCGGCATGGAAGGGAGTATTTGGACGGATCGTCTGCTGGGTTCATTGCGTGAACTGCCTATATTTAGTCAATAACGGCAAGAGCTGTCTTCCGCTGTCGCCATGGGTATGGCTAGCTGTTTGAGCTTTCATCATATGTGCTCCACTATAGATGGTGCAGCTCTGACAAGGCCGTCACAACTCAATTCACCCTATGAACGTGATCCCTTAAGCCCCAGATCCATCATAGGGGGATATCTTAGAAACCATTTTTATTGTGAGCTGTGCCTTTGGCGTAAACGATGTAACAAGGGTCTGTACATAAAGACGGTTGTAGGCAAGGCCCTGCATGAGCTCAAACGTTACAGATATTATTACTGGCATGATACATGCAGGAACACTGTCAGGCTGGACCTCTTAGTCGAATGAATGATTCGATCGATTAGTATTGCAATGTGCTTGAATATGTCTCGTAGTGAATGTCCTGAGCTAATTCTGCACACAATTGCACTAAGCTCATTTTGGATACTAGCATTGCCCGTTCTGACTTCAATAATTCACCCAAAATTACTGGATTTTTCAGAAGAGAATGAGTTTGGAGTTTCGGCTACCCCGAGGTCGAGTGTTGACTCGCTCTCGGAAAACGATCACGTCGTCACCAATGACTTTGTCTCGGAAGGTTACGGCAATTCAAGGTTTGATTTCACGATTTTGTTAAAGAAAGCATGGAAGAGATAAAGATCAGTCCTCAGCCTGAGGTCGAATGCATGGCGCAGACTTGGAGATTGTTTTAACAGTCGACAACCCTTGAACGAAGAAGCAGATCTGATTAACAAGTTTGCTAGGTCAATTGCTAACATATGTAGGCGAATTTATTTTCGTAATCCAAGGTGGAAAGAAAACAGTGAGATTGGTAGACGCGCCATGCAATCAGTCATGACCGGAACTCCTGAATGGTTAATAAGGGTAAATGACCATCTGAAAATTTTAGTCGACATCAAAAGAAATGATTTTTGCAGAAAATCGTCTGGTGGTGACGAATCACAAATGACGCTGTCGCAGAACTCGTCAGGAGAATCTCATCCGGGCAAGCGGATTAAAGCCAGGTGAGGTTTTTTCCCAAGACAGTCAACCAGGAGCGCTCGTCGTGAAACTGCGACTCTGGAATGATCAAAGATGGCGGTGGGTTTTGTGTGTCTCCGCGCCATCGACGACATCTCCAGACGTCAGAAAGTTCTCGTCGACCCTTCTCTAACCACCTTCTATGGTACGCCATTATTAGAATTTGCCGGAACATTGTAGGACGCACACGTTTCGAGAAAAATCGAAACATGCAAGTATTGCACAAGATAGTTCACCAAAGTGAGTGATTTCGATGTAACTCAAGCGTGCTTCTTCTTAGCGGAATTGCAGATTCATTTGTTTGACAGCTTTGTTTCGGAATAGCTGTCGTGTGTGCTTCATTACCGATTAAAGCAGTGCACAGCTAATGAATAGCGAGCGAGCGGTCGCGCAGCAACTATGCGGTTTGGCTTCTCAACTCAGCCGAATGACTGTGAAGGGAGCGGCATTAGATGTGTCGCTGCCAGCTCTACCATCAATCGAGAAAGGGGCATTTGACTGCACACGACTCGACTGCAGAGAGCATGTTCAGGCTTTTTGAGTATGAACGCAGTTTGCTTCCGACCGCGCGCTGTTTTTAAAGGCACAGTTTGCAACAAAGAC